GAGGCATTTTTTTTCCTGGTTCGTTCGAAACACGCCCCATAATCACAGCTCTATGGAGCAGTATCAGACTCATATTCTGACTAGAATTGAGTAGGACTACGTCAGGCTAATGTCAATATGCTCTATCCAGAACTCCTCAAGTGGAAATGTTTTAGTTTACCTGGTTTAATTTCATCAAAAGTCTTCTTTAAGGAACCTTTAGCAATCTGATTATTAAGTGAATAATCGAAAAATGATCATCAGATTAACCAATTTGCAAAATAATAATAGTTCCAGCCGTAGATTAAGGTGGCTGGATTGTGTTCTAAAATAAAAGCGATTTGATCTATGCATACATTGCTTTTATCAACTCTTTGAGCTTTTTCACCCATTTCATTTGATGTTTTAAAGATCCTTTTAAGAGAGTTTGCAGGTTGAGTTAGTTTAAAAAAAGCTGTTTCTGAAAGTTGAGAAAAGCAACATAAAGCCTGTTCCAGCTTGTGGAGCCTCCACCAGTTTCCTACTGTATTTCATCAGATTTACGGGGAGTTGGAGAGATCCAGCACTTCTACACCTGAGATTTAGTTCATGTTTTTCTTCCTGTACACGTTTCCTTTTCCTAAACTGTCCAAATAAAGGATCCTGTTGAGATAGAATGAATTTAATTAACTGAGATGGATCAAATCTACTCTGAAGCTAAAAACCATTTTATACCTTTAAGTTTATACCTTTAAAAGTGACGTTTTCTTCACTATTGGTTTGATAAAGGAATCAAACAATATTAATAGATTTAACAGTATGATTAAATGCAGCTACTGTAAGGACTTTAATAATATAAATAACCTTGTTTAAGTCACGGATATCCTGAAAAACCTAATTTCTAAATAGTTTTATTTTAGGTTTTTCTGCAGCAAATGTTGTAACAAAATTTAACGTAACTAACTACTGCATTTTTTTTTTTAGTTATGGACTTAATTTCACCTTTGCTTTAAAGTTTTGCAATATTTTTACGATATTTCATCTTGAAATGCTGATCTTTTTCTAACTAATTAATCTGAGGTGGTGACAAACAAAAGGTAATGAATAAACTGCTTAGGTAGGAATATAACTTTTTTATTTAGGCTTCTTTATCCTTTTGATATTTTTGTTTCAGTCTAATCACAAGGACACCACTTTAGCAGTTCAAATCCATGACTACTGCCAACTTATCTATAAGTTTATAGGAATTAAATAAGCAGTTCTATTGTCATTGTAAGGAAAAGTACAACGTTATTTCGATGGGCAGCATCTTTAGTAGCAAATTGGATTATTAAAAACAAACAGAAAAAACATGGAGGTAAGCAGAACTTCTCACCTGTTGAAACAAACAATTTAAAGGTATTAGTACCGGCAACTTACACAATAAAGTTAAACATTAAAGCTCCCTTGGTTTTCTAAACTGACTTCAATTATTCTCCTTCTATTTAACAATAAGTTTATCACAACTGGAAAAAGCTTTTCATCCAATAAAATAAAGTTGTTTTTCTCTTTTAATATGAAAAATGATAAGAGTTGTGAGACTGATTACTTTAAAACAAAGATAATTATTATCTTATTAAAAGTAGTTATTTCATATCAAACCATAACTGAACTAAAAGGAAAATGGTTCATCTTTTCTTGTCAGATTTTAAGCTCTACTTCAAACTGTGCAGCGCCACACTTTAAGCCTATAAACACATAATTTCAGAACTCCCTTTAACATCAAAATATGCTTTAACAGCCAACAGTGATCAAACACTTTGAAGCATCTGAGCAGCCAAAGTGATCTTGCGGTTGATGTAAGAGAAAAAGTCAACTTAAACACTATAGTGTGGTTAACAACCAGCTTATCACATCTTTATTGATATTATAGACCGGTACCAATCAACATATACATTATATTAAATGGTAATACCTGATTGTGGGTATTCTGTCCAGCCGGGATTCAGGGCTCCAAGCCAAAGCATCAACGCGCAAATCATGATGAAAAACTCTGAGAACCCTAAACTGGACTCCCTCCACTTCCACGTCCTCTTCCTGTAAAAGCAGATTTGTGTTTGAAGACGCAGACAAACACTGTACTGGGTAAATATGACAGTGTGGAGCTGCAGCTCTTACTTGGAAGAGGCAAGTGCCCACCACCACATACTGGTTTCCACCATAGGCCAGAAGAGAGGCAGGGGAACCGGAGCTGAACGGGCTGAATTCAACCACGTGGACATAGTCCTCACATGCCACTGTGTAGCTAGGACTGCGGGTCGAGTCCTCCTGCATGCTGGGAGCTCTGGTTTAGTCTACGAAATTGACAAAACTGCATTTATTAGCAGAACATTTAGCCCAGCCACTTATACCAGCAGAAAATAATCCATGGCACAATTTTCATGTGTTCATTGTATTCATTTGATATTGAATTTAATTTGCTTTTAAAAGGTTTTATTTTAAAGGACTATACTTTAGAAACTAGACTCTAATTTCTAGGAAGTAAAAAGAGAAACATTTGCAGTGACAAAGTGGAGCATTTGGGGACAAGCTGGTGATAAATAAAATGCATAAACTTCTGAATCCTAGAGCTTTTGTTGCTTCAAACCAATTACCGTATTTTCACGACTATAACGCGCACTTAAACGTCTTTTTTTCCCCTCA